TGGGGGTTCCAGCGAAGTGGGCGGAGCTATTTTAGTATTTTCTTATTATTAATAAAATGATAATGAATATTGTTTATGTATCTATTTAGTATTTAGTTTATCTATTTATTCATTAATTTATTATTTTTTATTTGTTTATTTCTTTTCCTGTTCCTTCTCTACATTTGGTTCACCATTCTTGATGTTTAGTCTGTTTCTGTTTCACAAATTTTTGTTTCTTCTGAAAAAAAAAAAAACTGCCTGTTTTTTTTTTGTTTTTTGTCCCCCGTTCTGGGGTGTTTTGGTTTGCTGGGGGGGGCTGGGGGGGGAAAGCAGGGGGGGGGGGGGGGGGCAGAAACAGGCCAGATGAGTCAACCAGGGTGAAATCAGAAGCTGTTTGAGGTCACTGAGTTCAGCTCTGAGCCTCTTCTCTTCTCATCCCAGCTCCTTTTGGCCTCCTTTTGGCTTTCTTTTGTCGTTGTCTTCCACACTGGTGTTTAAACGTCCTGGTCTGGACTTGCTCTTAGAATGCTTTAATGACCCCGTTTGGGAGGGGGCATGGAGGAGGACGGCCTCTGGGCAGGATGAGCTCAGCCGGGTGTGGAACAGGCTTATTTCTGATTCCAGGAAAAGCATCCGAGGCTTTCTGTGAAAAAGGGACGGATCTGGTTCAGGCTGGAAACGCTGAGCAGAAACCAGCCGCCGACTCCTGAATCAGCACCTCTGACGTGTTTAGACTCAAACCAGCACCCTTCAGACGAGCCCCAAAAGCTGCACACAGAGGACCTCCCTCACCCCCCGTCCTGAGCCTCTTCTCTGCCGTTTCAGGAGGGTTTGTTCAGGATTAACCAGAACTGAAAGGAACCCGGGCCAGAAAGATGAGCGGAAAAGGGGAAGAAAGAGGAAAACTCTGATGAAAGCTCAGGAAGCAGCAAAGACAGGAAGTAAGATAGATAGATAGATAGATAGAAAAGGAGGATCCTGGAACAGAGAGGCAGAGATGCAGCATCCTCCATCAGAACAGATATCAGGAAGTTAAAACATCCACCAAAGAAGAACTTGACCCCAGCAAGCAAAAACAGAATACAACCAAATAAAGATGGAAAGCTCCCCAATCTGAAGGCTTCAGGAGGAGCTTCCTGCCACCAGGATCCAAAAGGCCTGCTCAGGTTAGAGCAGCTTCCAGCCGTCTGCGGGAAAAAGCGCTGAGCAAACAGGAAAAGCAGCAGAACCAGCAGGACTCTGGACCAGTTTCTGCTCCAGTTCCTCCTCAGGGTCTTTGTTCTGAGGTCTGAACCCGTAATGAATCTGCTTCTTCTCTGCTTCCAACAAACGTTTCCTTTGTTTATTTGGGTTTAAACTCATCTTTAGTCCATACATCCATCCATCATGATGGATGGATGTATGGATGGATGATGGATGTTGGATGAAGGATGGATTGATGATGGATGGATGAAGGATGGATGGATGGATGATGGATGGATGGATGAATGATGGATGGATGATGTATGGATGGATGGATGATGGATGGATGGATGGATGATGGATGAATGATGGATGGATGGATGGATGATGGATGAATGATGGATGGATGATGTATGGATGGATGGATGATGGATGGATGGATGAGGGATGGATGGATGGATGGATGGATGAATGATGGATGGATGGATGATGGATGAATGATGTATACATGGATGAATGATGGATGGATGGATGATGGATGAATGATGTATACATGGATGAATGATGGATGGATAGATGATGGATGAATAATGGATGGATGATGGATGGATGGATGGATGATGGATGAATAATGGATGGATGATGGATGGATGGATGGATGGATGGATGGGTGGATGGATAGATGGATGAAGGATGGATGGATGGAGGTTCTGCTCCTTCCTTTGGGTGGACTCCTCTAAAAGTGGACCAAAACCAAACCTTTAACAAACAAACTCTGATTGGCTGAGACGTTTTTTTTTGTATTAACGAGTTCAGGCCAACAAATGATGTCATTGGTGCATCACATGACTCGGAGCTGTGCTCTGATTGGTGGGTTTTCGGTTTCTGTGGATAAAATGAATCCAGGTCAGTTTTTTTCTCCCTGTCTGAGCTGGGATTTGTTCAGAACCGGACAGGAAGCTGTGGGTTGTGTAGATGTTGCGTAACTTGTGTGTCACACAGTGAGCTGCGTTTGTGTGTTTGTGCATCATGACGACACGACCAGTGACACACAGGAAGAAGCAAACGCACCACAACGACACACACACACAAATAGACACACAGATACACAGACAAACACACACAGAGATACACAAACACACAGATAAAAGATGGAGTTTCATTTCAGAGTTTAACATGTAAAGAACTTTCTTTTTTATTGTCAAAACTTTATTCTGCCTTCAAACAACAGTCCCCTCTATTTTCCTTTTTAAAAAAAAATATTTTTATTCTTTATCTGACCCTTCCATAATTTAATATAAAGTAGCTTCAATAGTTGAAGAGTTTGAATGGCTTTTAATAGATTTAATGGCTTTATTATGACAAAAATTACTATAAAACCATCCTCTTAAGCTGCATTTAGTTTAAGAGAAGCTCATTTCTTCCCTGAGAATTCCTCTTTTCCCTGTTAAAATAAAGGAGGAGGAGGAGGAGCTTCCTCTTTTCCAGGCAGGAATCTTTCACATCTGCTGTCAACTCGGCCAAACTTCCTCAATTCGCTTTTTATAAATCAGTGTGTAACCCAGTAAAACCAACACTTAGTGGACTACTGTACTCAGGTTCAACTCAAGGAGCGAGGGAGGGATTAGTGTACAAAGTAAAAACAGAAATATTTATTCTCAAAATCAACAAAAAGTAGAATCAGATTCAAATCCCCAATATAAAAAAAAGAAATAAAAGAACTGAAAGTGTCTCTTTAAAGCTTATTGCTGTCTGATATTGATGTCCTCAAAGTCCAGTCCAAAGAGCTTAGTTTGTATCCATGTCCGTCCAAGTGTGTTCAATGTGTATGAGCTACCAGGGTAGAGTGTGTGTGTGTGTGTGTGTGTGTGTGTTTGTATGTTTGCTGCGCGCAGCTCAGATCTTATCTGCTCCAGGCATGAGTCTTCAGGAAGGTGATGAAGGTGGAAAATCCCAGATCCTCTCTAACCCTGTCTCACTTCAGACAGGAAGCCTGGCTGGAATCGACGCTGTGGATCCAGCAACTAAAAAAAAACAATCTGCCATAGCAGGAAATAAAATGAATTATCTATCAATAATTACTGTACAGTATTATATCTCTTTTTAACTCAAGTGTAACTTATAATACTGACCACAAAAGGAATGATGACCTATCTCCTGAGACCTTAAAACCTTAGACATCATTATGTTTTTTTCCCTTCTTTTTAACAGTATTAATAAATCATGTTACACAAATTATCCCTCATCTTTAATTAATCATGTCCCTCATTCTTATGTATTTCTAATCATCCCAACATGAACTGTAACACATTGTTTATATTAGGAAAAACCCCATATGTATACCAATTATGAGCATTAGCCCCCGTATAGCATATTTTTAACTTTTAGCATCGAACATGGCGCCCAGAAATGACGCAGTAAAAATGACCGTTCCTCAATAAAAATAATTACATTTCTAAAACACAAACTCAGCATATTAACTAGTTGCAATGTCTCTATAACATTTACATTTGACTCCAGTTGGTTTTTGTTGATAAGAAAATTGCTAAATCATAACTAACAGAAAAATTGCATATCCGCTAACATCTTAGCATGCTAAATAATACACTCACCGGAGTCCTCAATCATATAAAACAAAAGGAAGCAAATCCTCCGGTCGCAGCGGTCTGGAACCCTCTGGTAACAAATTTTGTGTTCATAAACATGAAAAAAACGGCACTTCTTCGTTCAGATTTGCTCGTGGCTATGTGGTGAGTTGTTAGCATCAGCTCCCACCATGCAATGCTCACCTATACTCGATTTACTACGCGTCGCATACGTAATGCGCCCTCTAGCGTCACTTTCAGGCAACTACAGTCATCCTGAAACACAATTTCCCTCATAAATTCACATATTAAAATGAAACTTATTAACTATAAGGCCAAACAAACAAACAATAATCAGTTAACCTAAAGCTGTACTTTCATAGGGGTTACAAGTGTCTGTATCTAGTATATTTTTATAAATTAAACCAAAATGTAAAATCTGAGCATTTGTGACGTTTAGTTTGAGGTTGCCTCCTTTTCCTCTGCGTTGCTGTCACCAGGGGCCGTTGTCAGGACAAACAGATGACAGATTGTGTGTCAGAGAGGACACCACGGAGGAATAACAACTCATTAGGAAAGAGGCCCACCTTTCCAGGCGGTTTGGAACCGGATCCCTCTGCCCCTCCTTCCCGTTCCCTGTCCTCATACCAGCACCGTGAGTCAGATGGAGGGGGGGGGGGCTGAAACCTGAGTCTGGGAGGGAGGAGGGAGGCAGGCAGGCAGCAGAGTGGGATATTAAGGCTGGTTCAGCAGGAAAAAGAGCTGTGTTTGGGTTTGTGTGGGAGAAAACGTGCAGCCGAGAAGCCTCGATCGGATCAGAGCTTCTGGATGAATCAGGACCAGCTGAGCAAAGACTGGGACAGGAGCCAGGGAAAGGAGGCCAAATGAAGGCCAAATAGTGGCCAAAAGGAGGCCAAAAGGAGGCCAAAACAAAGCAAAAAGGAGGCCGAATGGAGGCCAAAAGGAGGTCATAATAAAACCAAAATAAGGCCAACACAAGGCCAAAAGGAGGCCAAAACGAAGCAAAAAGGAGGTAAAAAGGAGGCCCAAAGGAGGCCAAGAGGAGGTTAAAATAAGATCAAAATAAGGCCAAAAAGAGGTCAAAAGGATGTCAAGAGCGGGCCAAAATAAGACCAAAAGGAGGCCAAAATAATAACACACTAACAGACTCATACAGCATTGTGCGACTTTCTGCATAAAAAAACATTTTTCTTCTGTCTTTTCCTCCAAACCAGCTCCCAGTTTCCACAATTACTATCAAATGTAAAAAATAAGCTAATCAATTTCTTCCACTTCCACTACGATTTGCAGCATGTTTGTGTCTCTTATCTGGAGATAAAACTGGATTAAAGAGCACTGATTCAGTTTATTCAGACCTAATTTCATCCCATGACGACTCAAACCTTCAAAACATAAAAATAAAACATCTATTAAAGGCAGAAAAACACACAGTTTGAGCTTTAATCAGATTCGTTTAGCATTAAAGTGTGTTCATATGATCCCTGGAGGCTGGAAATTATGACTGCAGGCAGTAATGATGGAATTCAGCCCTTAAATCCTTCTCTATTTTTGGAGGTGTTTTCTGATTGGCTGCTGGGGATATGGCATCATCTCGTGAATTCTTTAAGTCTGACAGGTCGCATTCAGACAGTGAGAAGAACAAAGTCACTCATAGTTTAGATATTTTGGCCATGAGCCAAAACTCTGAGCGTCTGTTTATTCATTCCAGGTATTCGGTTCTTTGTTTAGCTCATCATCGTCTGACAGTGAAACTGCTCTTTAAAAGGTCAGTTTCACTGTCACACGTCTGAAACGCTGCAGAACGAGAGCCACATTCATTCCTGGGATTTTGGAGAGCCTCCGTTTCCGGCAGGCAGTTTTTCTGTGGAAAAAATCAATCAATGAACAAATAACCAACTAAATATAAGAAAAAATAAATAAATGAATATATTCCTAAATGAACAAATAATCAACTAAATATAAGAAGAAAAAAAAAGAATAAATTCCCGAATTTACAAATAATCAGCTAAATATAAGAAAAACAACAATGAATAAATTCATGAATGAGCAAAAAATGTATGAATGAATGAATGAATAAATGTATAAGTAGATGTATAAATAGAAACATTTAAAAGGATGAAAAGATAAATTATTTTACAAATAGAGTAATAAATAAATGTGTTTATGAACAGATGAATAGATAAATACATTTATAAGTATATGAATGACTACATACATTTCTAAACAAATGAACAGATAAATGCATCTATAAGTAGATGAATAAATAGATACATTTATAAACAGATGCATCTATAAATAGATGAACGGCTGCACAAAGACGGTGAACTTCTGCTGACAGCTCACATTCTTTCCCTTTCTTTCACATTCCTTCCTCATCCATTCATCGTGATGGACGTGTGAAAAATTCCGGTATGTGAGGCGTTCGGGTGGCGTCGGCTCTCACAGGCCCGGCCCGGCGGAGCTGCATTCAGGGGCCGGCCGCTTTCCCACGCCTCCCAACGGCCAATCGGCAGGCTCCGCCCACACCCGACTCCCAACGGCCAATCAGGAGGCTCGGCCCGCTCCGGGCCGCCATGACAGGAGGGTGAGGAACGCAGACACACCCCGAACACAAAGACCAGCAGACGGAGGCTGACGAAACCCTGCTCTCTGGTCTGTTTCCTGCCTTTTGTTCACAGAAGCCTTACATCACAGTTTAGATTATGAGCAAAGATAAACCCAAGTGATTCATTCAGAGAGCTTCAAAGAACATTCACTCTCGTTTAAGCCCCAGGTTTCCTGTTCTGATGGAGGAGGCCGTGTTTCTGCCTCTCTGTTCCAGGATCCTGCCTTTCTATTTGACCTTTGACCTCTGGGCCTCATACCAGACACTAATAATTTAAATCTAGATAAAATGGTTTCATACATTTTACACCAATCATGCTGTTATTGTGGTAAATATTGTTGTAAATAAGTCGTTTGGACCCTCAGAATCAAAATTTCTGAGTAAAATTTCAAACACATTTTAAATACAAGTAGATAAACTACAGAAGAAAAACTAAATCTAGTTCTTAAACACTACTGCTGGAAATCTGAAGGAAAATGCTTCTAGACATTTGACAGAAATGAAGATTTATGTCTGATAGTGTCTGCTATCAGGCCAAGAGGTCAAAGGTCA